TGAATGTTCATATAATCATACGTTTAGCTGTATGTTTTAGCGCCTTTTAGCTGTCTCTGTCAAGTTATGGGTGTACTTGGGAGTTAGAAAAGCACTTCAGAGGAGAGCATAACTCTAACACTTCTTCCTTGCTCTTCAAACATAATTGAGCATGATTGTGTAATGCGATAGACGCACCCTTATCATTAAACTATTCTTAATTTTGCTGCTTTTGCTGCTTTTGTTTTGGACTTTAACTCTCAAGGGCAATGAAAATAGTCCAATTTCTCATCACGTAATGTATTGTAAGACATTCAGGTGATGAGAACGAGGAAAATATTCAACTTAAGTTTTCGATCCTGTATTCCTTTGTATGAATCAAAGAGATCCACAAGTGAGGGCTCTATTTTAGCTTGAGTAAAAATGTTTGCTATTCAATGTCCGTCCTACCTCAGCGATATGAGTTTCACTTCTTCAAATTCGTCATCTTCATCGTATAGTTTGATAATCTGACGAAACCAATGACGAAAACATTAAAAGCGTACTTTTAAAACCTAAGGGAACTCAGAAACAAGGAGAAGGCTCGCATTTAAAACCCATAAGGGACTCAAATACCTTTAGCGTTACTTTGATTGCCATCATCACGGTGCGATAAATACGATAAGTTTTAGCACCCCAAAGTCCCCATAGCAACTCAACTTTTTTAACCTTGGCTATTCCAGACCCATCCACAAAATCCAATGATTGGCTAATCTTAGACTCTCAACGAAACACTCGTGGAGCACTAGTCAACCGCAAAAATGTCGAATACAATTTACTACCACAATGGTTGTCATCCATTTCATTCTTCCAAAATACATAGTGTCTCCTACTTCTGTAATCAAGCTTACTCGTCCCCAAGTCATCTCTAATTTGTCTCTATTTACGAGAGAGGCGTGAGAGAGATGTGAACGAATCAAGCTCACTGTGCGCGTCAGACACAAGAGCGACTATGGACAAGTCTGCCCTCTCAGGACCGTTCAGCACCATCGTGATAATCAAAGATGGGCTCGAATCTCAACTCCTGGATTTGTAACATTTATTCAGTCAAAAACAAACAATATACTTACTGCCCTAGTCACGTTTATTTTGACTTCTTCATAATCCAAACTTCCCGGCATCCGCATCCGCTCTGTGTAGCGGAGTTTGGGAAAGCGGATCTCCACTCGAAAATCTTTTCCTGCACAATAAATAGCATTTTACTGATGCATAGGAATGTGGTGACGGTTAAGAATGGAAGCAAACTTTGATAGAACATTCCGTTCATTCAGTATTTTTAGTTAGATTTGTTTTTTAGTCCAGTAGACGAATAACTATAATCAGCCAATCAGATTGCTGTAGGTGAGTATTCTAACCGGGCACTGTGCCAATTGATCCCTTTGTTGGGTTTGTGTGTCAATATCCCACTAAATCAGCCATGCTAAGCAGAAAAAAGATAAAGAATACGTTTGATACCTCGCTTTGGTGTGAGGAGAGCTATTGAAGGAGGCAACTTTATCGGGCTGTGTAATGGTTTCTCTACGGGAACTTTATCATTCATAGGCGCTAAATAAGTAAGGCCAGGCGGTTTATTGCTCTTCGTCGGCACCTCGTCACTCATTGGTAATTTTGCAAAAGCGTCAAGTTTTGCATCCTTTTCTTCCTGGCGTTCATAACTTGAAGTCTCCTTAGCGCTATTGCTGTCGATTCCTGGTCTCGCATTTGGCTCAGTGGGACTGGAACTTGCATAACTAGGTCTCGCGTTTGTATCACCATGCTCGGATCCCAGATTATGAGGCCGCAAATTGATGGAATTGATGTTGGACCCTTCAAACAATGGTGTTCCTTCTGTGTTACTACTCACTGGCTCTAATGAACTTAGTTTTTTATCTATCTCACTATTCGCGAAGCTCGGTCTTTCATTTAAACCAGTAGAGCCTACGTCACCGTTATTAATCATGGGCCCTGGATCGGTTAATGAACTTTCTTGGAAAGAACTTGGAGCTTGCTTCATTTCATTAACTCCCGCATACGAAGGTTGTATGCTCTCCGTCTCGTGCATGTCAGGTCTTGAACTTGAGAAGCTTGTCTCAGGCTCTTGGATGCTTTCTACAGCTGGACCCTCATTCGTGCCAGACTCTACATTAGCCTGCTGAAGGGGAGGAAGGTTTGGTGTAGTCGTGTTTTCCAATCCAGTGGCACTCGGTTCAAAGTTAAACTCCTTAAAATAAACCGTGTTTTGGTCTTTACCATTGGACTGTATGTCTGAAGATTCGCCTTGAAGTGAATCAAAGTAAAAATTTAAGTATAGATAGGGGTGTTACACAGTTCAGGTTACCGAGCCCATAATTACCGAAGAGCGACTTAAACTTGCCGTATCCCGTTGGTATTTTATTGTTTTAACTGAGTATTGCAAACTGTTCATAGTAGTAACTTCTGCATCCATGACATGGCGAATCTGATTACGTTCAGCATTCCTATATTATTTTATCCATTTAAAATCTGGTTGTCCACTGCCATAGCTATGAAATAGATTTACCAAAACCTGACAGCAAAACTAGCTTACTATTGACTTAACTACAGCTAGTTATTCAGTGTAAAGATACTTCTCAGTAGTATGCCCGTATTTAGCATTGATAATATAGTCGAAATACAAGGGCTCTCACATGTCCACGTTTGCCTCGTATATCTCTGAAAGACCTCCGAAATTTGAACAACATTTGGCTGTGAAATGGAACTACTTTCTTTCCATTTTAAGGTAGCGTATAGAATGTTTTATATCAAATCTTGTCGAACTTTTCCTGCTTTTACTTCTTAGAAATAGCCGGTTCTCAAATAGGACTTCCTTACCCGGAGTAGTGTTAGGCTGGTTATTGTCCTTAGTTCCTTGACTGCTTTTGTCAGAGGATTGTTCTGCGACATCCCGGACATTGTCATTGAATTTACCGTCTATATTTCCGCGGGGGCTGTAGCGAGCCACCAAAAAGAAGTTCCCGGATTTACTCTGAGCTGTACCAATCCCAACCTCCTTAGAGTCCCGCCAGACCAACTGGCTAAAGTGACCTGTAAAGAATTACATCTGTGGTTGTTTTTGTAATAATCTTTGCAGCTAACGATGGACGTTGCGAGTTCCGTCATGCATGTAGTGACTCAGATTATCCCGATTATCTCAGATTATCCCAAGCTGATGACAGCTACAGCCATTGCTACCCCTTGCTAACACGCGATTATTGTCCCTAAGGGCGTCGAC